GTACTCTTTAGGCCCTGGGAACACAGGCAGAGAAACTCGGCACTCAACCGCTCGCCGTGCTGGCACCCCAGCAGCAGGTCTGGGTTAGAGAACGTGACCAGTGGTCAACCGTCCTCCAAGGACGCTGGTGGGCACGGGACGCAGGCTGGTGTCCCCCCGATGGATGGGTCCCAGTGGCAGTGCTTGAGACCAGTGCCCCTCCCAGGGGCAGAAGCGGCCAGGGGTCAGGGGGGATGACCATAAACATCATTATTAGTTTTTAAAATGGTTTGTCTTTGAGGAAGAAAAGAAGGGAGCAAAGGCATTTGGCCTGGATTCTGCAGGCAGTGGAGACGGGCTGAAGGCCTTTAAGCCGGAGGTTGCACGGTTGCTGGAGAACAGGTTCTTGTCTGCCCGGAAGGAGCTGAAGAGCGAGGCACAGTCAAGTGAAAGTTTGTTTACTCGGGGGCCACACGCCCCTGAGGCAGAGCACTGGCCGCCTCAGAAGGCAAGAGGCACGCCGGCGGCGCGCGGGGTCGCCTCGGAGGGGGCGACCAGCCCCGACGCGTGGGGGTGGCTCGTTTTTATGGGCTGAGTAACTCCGTATGTTAGTAAGTGGGGGGTTATTCCAACTGTCTGGGGGAAGGGACAGGGATTTCCAGGAATTAGACCCCCTCCCTCTTTCTGCGTTTGGTGAGCCTGGGAGCTGTCATGGTGCCTGCGGGTGTGTCACTTAGCAGCTAATGTGTTACCACGAGCCTGGCGTGAGGCTCAAGGTCCGCTGGAGGCCGGTCCTCCGCCATGTTGGGCTGAGTTGGTTCTAACCAGTTTTATCCTCAATGGCTCTGTCATTCTTTAATGGTTGTGTCCTGCCCCCTTCCCTCCTGTCTCAACATCATGAAACTGGGGGGCAATTGCTCTGCCAGGGCTGTGCACACTAGATTTGATAAGTGAGGGAGAGAAAATGGAGGCAGAGCAACCTGGTCACAGATTTTCTCATTTCCCATAAACTCAGTTGCATCCCATCTCTTCAAAGGATTTTTCTCTTTGGTTACAATGCTGTGCTCAAACCACGAGTTGAATCACCCTCCCTCCTCAGAGCTGTCATTTTCAGCCAGGAGGAGCTGGGGCCCTGGGGGGCGACTGCGGAGCCGGCTGGCCTCAGCCCCATCCTGGCTCGGGGTGTGTTAATCTGGCTCCCAGAATGGGGTCGACTTTTCTCCGAGACGTCGCGTCTCTCCTGCTCTCGCTCTGGGGAAAGTGAGGCCTGGTTTGTACTTCTGTCGTCACGCAAAGAACTTGTGAATGCGGGAGGCTACCCCAGGCTGGATTAAAAACCCGCTTTCATGCCAGCTGGGTTTCTGACAGAAATGCCACAAGCTGGCACCTGGCAGTGTTGCTGAGCGGGCAAAGTCAGAAGACTTTGATTTTGTGCAGCTCACACGGTGGAGCCTTCAGCATTTCACAGACTTCCCCATGTGACTTGCATTTTTGAAAGCGGATGGTGTGGGAAGTCTTGCTGGATCACCTCTAGTGTGATTAGGAACTAATGGCGCTATTTGAAGTTCTGGGGATATCTGAAGTGAGCGACAACTGCCTCTGAATTCTCAGCTCACGTCCCACTGAATCATGCTCACTCCCCGTAGATCAGAAAACTGTGTTTATGCTGATCTTTATGCACAAAGCAGACTCAGCAGAGGCTGCGGGCCAGGGCCTCGGGCCGGGGTTCCAGCTCTGCCTCCAGGCGGTGTGGGTTGTGTGACAGTAAGCAAACTGCTCCTCTGCGAGGCTCGTCTAGAAAACGGGTCGGTCTCAGCCTCCTTGGCATCTGGGGGCCCGAAGGGAAGAACACATGGAGACACTGGGCGCAGTGGCGGTTCGTGACGGGTGAGCGGACGAGCGAGTGGAGTGCGCGTGTGCACTGAACCCCAAACAGGAAATCATCACGCAGCGGGAAGTCCTCGGGGTGGGTGCCCAGAGCCCCCGACTCCCCTCAGCTCTGCTGCACATGCAAACCACACCTCGCTTCCGAGACTGGCCTCGCGCTCCACGCTCGGGCTGGGGCTGCTCACCGGCCCCCGGGATCCAGGCCCCCCTTCTTCCTTTTAGTAACAGAGCCTCGCCAACAAGTGTCAGCCGGACAACTGGCCAGAGAGACTGCAGCCGGGGTGGCCGGGGGGGCTGTCCCATGGCCCCCAGGACATGTCCTCACAGAGGCAGCTCCTTGTCCCGGACTCTCCCCTCCTCCTACCTGGAGCGAGGACAAGTGTCACGCAGGCGCAGCACACAGCACGCAGAGCAGCAGGGCAGAGGGGCCTGGACCCCGTGTGACCTCTGGGGCAGAGCTGCTGCTCCCGCGGGCCCCTGCCCCTGGGCTGTGGGGAGAGGCGGGCCTTCACCCAGATGCACAGCCCCAGATGAGCTCACTTCCACCAGAAGTCCCACTGCTCCTGCGCTCACATGTCCTCCGACTGCACGGTGACGCAGTGCCTCCTGCTCCCCGGTGCTTGGCAAATATTAACCATCTCCCTTTCACAGCAGCCATCTGAGGTCAGTGCTATCACGACCCCACACCTGAGGAAACTGAGGCACACGTGGGGTCCACCCTCGGCCAAGGACACAGCAGGCACGAGACAGGAGCAGGACTGGGCCCCGGCCACCAGGACCCCAATCTCCTGGCTGATCTTCTCTCAGCTTCTATGCGGGAGGGGCCCCGAATTCAAGGACGAGAGGGGAGCGAGGCTCAGAATTCAAAGATGAGGTCCTGCAGCCCTCACCACCCGGCTGCTCAGTGACGGGTGTTAGAGCTGGGAGTGAACGCGCCCCTGGGGAGAGGGTGGGCATCTCCGAGGGGAGGAAGGCCTCCTTCAGTCTGGCTGGGGTCTGGCCCCTGCCTTGTGGGCTCACAGCTCCTCTGCCAGCTCTTGGGCCCCGGGATCCCGCACAAATGCGGCTTGGCCTGCTTTTGGCAAAAACAATGTCCCACGCGGTTTCCACCGTTAAAATAGTTTATCTCACGAGAGACTGCGTTATTTAAGTAGAGACGGCGTCTCCCCAGCTTCCATGAGAGCTCCTGGTCCGCCCGAGGTGACCTGTGTCACATCACTGAGGTGACGGAGGCTTCACCTCGTTCAGTGCCCTTGTCGCCAGGAGACAGAGGAAGGTGGTCCCAGAGGGAGGGGGTGGGGACACATTCCCTGCATCACTTGTTTCCAAATCCTTGGGGCCCTGGGAAGCAAGTGCGGCTTCCAGCATCAGACCTGGTTTCAGCCGCATTCTTGTTTCAGCACTCACTAGCTACACGGTCTTGGACAAACCGCTAAATTTGTCCAAGCCTCAGTTGCCACATCTGTATAATGGGTAGGGTAACAATTGACCCGTCGGTCCGCTGACACAGGGCTGCTGTAATGAGACCAGGCAAAGCACCCTGAAAACAGCTGAACCTAATAAAAAGTATTGCCTTGCCCAAGGCACCACCCAGCCTCCTGAGCTCCTGCAGCTCTGGCTGGTCACAGTCATCCGCTCTCTTTCCTCGCCCGCATCCTCAGGTCTGCCTCTCAGAGCTGGCTGGCAGCCTCCCCTGCTCCTCATCCCGGCCCCTTTCCACCCTCCTCTGGCTATTTCATTATCCGCAGTCCTCACCTCCATCCATGCAAACACTCCCGGAAGAGTTATCGTCCTAAAACAAGACGCCGACAATATAATTTCCCTAATTGGAAAACTGTCTGGTGTCCTCCTGCTCACAGAAGATCCCAGCCCACCGCAGCCCCTTTCCCGCCAAGCCCTGCCCACCCTCCCAGCAGCTCCATGAACATGCCAGGACCTGCATGACCCTGCGCCTGTGTAATCGCTGGTCCTGCCGACCCAACGCCCACCCTTCCCTCGTCCCCTTCTCCAAGCTCCAGTTCACCCTAAAGATCCGGCTGAAAAGGCAGCTTCTCAGTGCAGCCTCTCGCCCCCACCTCAGGTACCAAATCCTCTGCCCGCACCTGCCAGCCAGCTTTGTAACCTGTTGGTGTCCACACCTGCGTGATCTGTGAGCCCCTCCACATGGCCACCGGCACCTAGCAGGTGCTCACTAAACGTGCAGCACCAGGCGTGACAGCCCAAGGCCTGATCCGATAGCAACCAGCGGGGGCTCCAGGTGAAGTTACACTTCCTGAGTGTGTCCGCACTTCCATGAAGGCCTGAGATCCATCGTCTCGTCTCAGAGCTTAACCAGGCCCATTGTGTTAACCACGTTTTACAGAGAAGGAAATGGAAGCTCGGAAAGATGAAAACAAGCTGCCCAGCTCACAGCTCACAGCTCGCAGTGGCAGGACACGGACCCAGTCTGGCTGACTCCGCAGCGCACGCACATTCCCCTCTCCTGGGCTGCTTCTCCGTGCCCCGGCTCTCTCAGAAACGGCTGCTTCCCTTTATAGAGCAGATGCTCCGGCTCAAAGAAGGCTTAGGAATGAGGAGACCAAGAGCTCACAACCCCAGCTCAGCCCTCCGTCCCCAGGCTACAGACTGGCTTTCTTCACGGGGGGGGGGGCTCTGCTTCCCGCCTTGCTCTGCACTTCATGACGATGCTAAGTGCCTCACTGGAGATCTAGTTTGGGGATGGGGCCACGTTATGACCACACCCACTGGCCTTCTGGCGGCCGGAGGACCTGCAGTTGTGGGTAAAGCCAGGGGCACCCAGCCCCAGCACTCACCTCTGTGGTGAGACGTCTGTTAGAAGCGTCACCACGTCAAGATGGATGCTAAAAGCACAGCTCAGTGGGGCTCCCTTCCAGGAGGGTCTTCATCAGCCGTGCTGGCCCGGGGGCAGCAGGGACGCTGCGCGGCTGCCCCGGGCCCCCGTCCAGCCCGGCAGTCACACTGGGCCCTCGCTGCTTCATTACTGCCGGCTCCATGGCTCCCCAGCATGCACGGTTCTTAAGCAGGGATCATTTTTTCTGTCAGGCTAGAATCAAATACTGTAAATTCCGAACGGCAGTCAGAGGAACAAAGGGGTTCAGAGAGAGCGGCCGTACCGTGTCTGGGAGAAAGAGACCCGGTGAGCAGCCATGTCCTGGATGGGGGTGTACGCGCCACCGTCCTCTTTGTCCACACCCGTGGATGCGTGCTCTTCAGAGCTGGGTTTCAGGATGGGGGCGTGGAGGGAGCATCAAGCACTCACACCCCCATTTACTGGAGCAAAACACTCCTGGTAGAAAAAAGCATTTGCCGAGGGCAACACCTGCTCCCGGAACCCGCCCAGACCGCCCCAGACCTGCCATCCCCAGCCTGGAGGAAGGGAACCCGGCCGTTGTGTCCAGCCTGAGAAAGAGCCTGCACTGCGGAGGCCACGGCCAGGTGGGTGTCCAGGCTGCCAGACAGACGCCCTTTTTGCCCCTGGCTCCTTCAGAAGGGGTGGCCGACGCAGAGCCCGGCAGGCTGGATGCCATGGGTCTCAGGTGGTCAGAATTAGCGTCATGGCAACCGGCCGTGGTCCATCACCGGGGGTGGGAGGGAGAACCAGGCGGCCCCCCTCCAGTGCTACCAGGACTTCCACTACTGAGAGAACCACCAGGGGGTCCATGAGGGCGCCAAGCTCAGGTCACCAGGAGAGCCTCCAAAGACGGAACAGGGCCTTTCCAAGAGCAAGCCTGGAAAACGTATTCCGGAACCAGTCAGCACAAAATTGTTTCCCTCATTGTCCTAGATACACAGCAAAGGGGCTGCCCTCTGCTGTCAGCGACCGCGGTGCAGGAGGTGGCTCCTGAGTTTCTGCGTTGAGCAATTACTTTGATAGCTCAGGAAGATATGGTCTTGTGCTGCTGAGGTGGTGGGCACAAAGCAGAGATTCTAGACAAAGCATCACTGCTTTAAAATTGAATTTTGCTTTTTTCCCCAGCTTTCAAAGTCCAGCCCAATTCCTGTAGACTAATTCCTCAAACAAAAACAAACAAAAAACCCCAAACCAAACCAACCCAACCCCCCAAAACAGAACTTCAGTTGCTTCATTTTTCTATGGAAAACAAATGCTTTTATGTTATACTCTTTTTTTCTGAGGAGTGGTGGACGGTTCTTCATTATTTTTTTACATTTGTTTATTTTTTGAATATTTTTGTATTTTTACACTTCTTTCCAATGTTTAGGATGGAAACTCCAGAAACCTTACAGAATTACATGTGCCCTGATTTCTCATCTCCACAGCCCGTGATGCACCAGCATTCTGCCGAGTTTCCCTTCCCCCCTGAGAATCCAGCATCTCACTCCTTCTTCCTTCTGGAGGGCCCCCACCACGGCGTCCTCCCCAGACCCACTCCGAGGACCTCACAAAGAAGGCACCCCTTCCCCAGGGAATGGGTTCCCAGTGGCGCCAACTCAGCCATTGTCCAGGGAAGGGTTAGGGGACGGGGCCTGTGGCTCCCGGATCTCACCAGGCTCACGAACGTCTCGGTCCCGCCCAAGCACCAGCCTTCTCCAACCACAGCCACCCGCCACCAGGTCTGATATGAGGTTGGAGGCGCAGACGGACATTTGGGTTCCTGGATGACTTGCAATTTCCCCCCGACTAGGCCCCATAAACGCCCGACCCCAGGCTGCGGCAGGCTGCTTTCTTGGGCCTCGCTGCCTCGTTTTCTCTGCAATATTGTCTGCAGCTGTAGGACCGTGGCTGTGAAGGATGATGCATTATTAACCCCGCGTCTCAGACCATGCATTCTGAAAGCCACTCGCTGATGTTTTAAAGACCCCGGCAGCAGCCAAGGGCCCTCACCGAAGGCAGGGATCGGAGCGCCGGACGGGGCGGTGGCCTCTCAGCCCAGCAGTAGGTCGGCACATTACCATCTCACACAAGGGGTGTCACAGTCCTTTTTAAATAAAATTGGAAAATACATGCTTTATGTTTTTCATTTTGCAATGTTTTCTAAGAGATGCCATACTGTGAGATTTTATTTTTAATGACTTTCCCACTCAGACATACACAGCTTGTGAAGATACTCTCACTGTTTTCAACAAACGATGTTGAATTCGTCTTGATTTCAAAGTTACTCTCATCTAGCCACTTCCATGGAGTGCGACCCCTGCCCCCACCGCCCCTGGCACCCAGTCACTTTAGTGAGGTGACGGCCCTCTGTCCGCCCACCCCCTCTGCGTCTCTGTACCCATTGCACAGCCAGTTAACTCCAGGGATCCTGTTTGGTCCCCAGACGCCTGCCCTTTAGCCCAGGTGTTTCTGCAGACATTTCCCTTCCTAGTCCACAGCAGGAGAACAACCGGAGGAACTTCGCGCGGAGAAATCAGCGAGTCTGGGCCTCCCTTGCTTGGTTCAGAACGCCTCCCACTCCAGCAGCTGCCGTGGAGGGGGTGACGCCCGTGTGGCCATCCCGGGGCACTCAGACTCCCTTCCACTGAACACACGGCCCCTCTACTTCACGGCAGCCTCCCCTGAGCTCTCCCAGCGCTGGTGGAAAGGACCCTGAGACCTGGACGCACCTGGCCTGGCCATCTGCCGGCGCCATGGGTGCTGGGGGCGACGACCATGCAGAAAGGAGAGGGAGTGGGAATGTGGCGAAGGGGCCCCTGCACAGGGCCGGGGCTGCTGGAGTGTTCGTCAGCTCTGAGTAAGTCCCTGGAGGATTGTTTTTGCAGTGAGCACTCTCACAGCCAGCAAGTGGGTGACCCGGGACTTGTCTCTGTTTATTCAGTGGGGACCAGGGTGTGGTGAGGCTTCCCCATCACGGGCTTGGGGGTTGGGGCCTGTGTCCGTGCCACTTGCTCTGCCCACGCTCCCTCCGCCCTTCCCCACCTACTCTGACCCCAGGAGGAATAATCTGGACACAACCAATGGGCTCCCTTGCCTTTGGTTGGCTTTGGGCAGCGGGAGGACCAACCTGCATCAGAGGCAGGGAGGAGAGTGCGGTGGGCACGTCCCAGCTCCTTGCCTGCAGGGTCACTGTGGCCGCTGCCTACTCCGCAGCCCCTCCCTCTGGGTTCAGGTGACTGTCCTCACCTCCGGCCCCTCAGGCCATGGGGCATCGGCTGTTAGCAGCCCGGGAGTCTGCACTTACGCCTGGGTTCCCTACGCCGAACCCACATCTCAACACGCTTCTCTATTTTCTCCCTCTTGGGAATGAGACTGGTACTTCTGGCCATCTGATCATTAATTTGAAGTTGCTCACAGGCTGGCCATCTTTAGGGTGAAGTCGGACCTTTCACAGGCCCGCTCCTTGCTTTCCACTCACTCCTCACCAGCTGCCCGTCCACGCTGGCCTCGGGCAGGATGGACCGCCTCCAGGTGTGCCCGCCGGCCATGCCCCGCCTCCTCTTGCTCCTTTGCGGGAACTGCCCTGTCCAGGCAGAAGCTGGCTGGGTCCTCCCAGCTTCAACTCTTACACTTATGTCCCAAGTTCACATTTCTGGAGGCAGCCCCCTTCCTACCCCCACCAAATACAGCTCAGGGTCACTCTGCGGAGAGAGCCGGGGCAGTGTGCCCTGGCTTGTTTCTGGAGACCCTCCTACATACGGGGACCAGCTCCTTCTCCTCAGGAGAGGAGTGTCACCACGGGCCTCCTATGCCAGGGGCCGCATCAACTCGATAAAAAAGTGGAGAGTTGGTGGGGAGAGTGTAGCTCAGTGGTAGACTGCGTGCTTAGCACGCATGGGGTCCTGGGTTCAATCCTTAGCACCTCCATTTTAAAAAAGTGGGGAGTTGGCCTCCATTTAAAAAAAAGTGAGGAGTTGGCAGTCTTTGGCTTTCTTAATAGAAATCGAATTTAAATTCTGGCTCTGTGCCTGGACACTCCGTCAACGATCTGACTGACCTCTTGGGCTTGGGTTTCCTTGAGTTCCCTAACAGTGTCATGGGGACGAACCCCACCCTGCTCTCACCCGACCCAGCCAAGAGGGAGTGTGGCCCAAAGTCGCTGCCACTCACCCTGCACCCGGGCAGCTCCTGATCCTCTGGCTTAGCTCCTCCCCTTCCCGCAGGAGGAATTAGTGACTGCACTGCAGCCCAGAGCTGCACCAGGAAGAGCTTGGATGCTGAGTGACGGTGTCTCCTCAGACACAGCTGATTGGCTGGCTCCTCTTACCAAGCCCAGGGCAGCCCAATGCCTGGTTCGGGGACCCACTGAGACTCCAGTGCCAGGGATCACTGGAGGGCTGATGGTAGCAGGCTGGGAGGAAGTGGGGTAAACAAGCCTAGAGATGGTCCTCACAGTGAGAACCCCCCGGTTCCCAGCAGGGACAGCCCAGCCCAGCAAAACCGAACAGAAGGGTGGGACGTGCAGGGAGAGGAGGCGGTGTCCCTGGTCAGTGCCTGGCCGTCCTGCAAGCCTTCAAAAGGGCCCTGCCTCTGCAGAGCTTTCCCCACCCCCTGGAACTCCTCCTGCACTGGCACATGACCTCAGCCTCGCAGCTCACAGCTCTGAGCCGGCTCTTATCCTCCTCTTGTTGTTTCCCGTGGGTTGGCTTTGTTTTCCTAACGAGATCATCAGATCTGTGGGCTGGATGCATTAACACAAACATGAAGGGCTGGTGAAATCAGAACAAGTGAAAATGATGCTGAGAGGAATAGTCTCAGGTATCACTGGACCATTAAGAACCTTGGTCTCTTCTTCTATAAACTAGGAGTTGGAGGTGTGTCTGACTTTTCATTCTAAGGGCAGTGGAGGGGACATCTCCTGGTGCTGAACCTTGTACTTTCCTTTGATCTGAATTTCTCCCTCACTAGGGCTAGTCATCCTTCTTCATCTCGCCCTGGCTTACAGTTCAGATAGGCTCCACCTAGCGCTCCTTCATTCAACGGCCACATGGCCCCAGGAACCTCAGACCAGAGGCTTCTCCATGCCCACAGCCGCATCCCTGAGAAGAACGCAATGCTCTTAGACATAGGAGGGCTGAAGGAAAGAGAGCGGGTGAATCAGGGTTTAACTGACCACCTGGAGCACAGCATCCTCGCAGAACTCACCCTCCGATGAAGGTCCATCCACAGCCCACCTTCAAGTTAAAAATGCCACATATTTTGAACTAAAAGGAACCTTAAAGTAAGCTGATTTAAAACACCCTCTGAGAAGCCAGAAAACTTAAAAGGCTTTGATGGACTAACAACCAAACGTTCTGACTCCCCGACCAGCTTTCTCTTCTCCAAGCCGGGAGGAAAGGCTGACAGTTCTGGTCTAGGTAACTAGAACCTTCTGCCCCAGGTGGCTCACTCTTCCTCGAGGAGCCCTCCAAGATGGCTCACTTTAATGACAGCAAACCGCTGCCTTTGGACACTGCTTAACACTCTTGAAAGTTCCTTGCATTTTCCCGCTGAATTGTCTCAACCACCCCGTGGGGCTGGCTCTCGTGGCCTCGCTCCCCAGGTCAGCCGGCCTGAGGCTGCGTGAAGAGAGGCCCGCCGCAAGCCCTGGGCGCCCGGACCCCGGCGCTCAGGACTCCGCCAGCGCCCCTCGCCC